AACAGGGAAAGTTAAAGAAGGGGGAATGAATATTCAGTCTCTTTGATTTATATGCTTTTAGAGTCTTATGGTACCTTAGAGTAAATGTAATTAATGAAGTTTGTCCATATAAAAGGGCAGATAATTTAGAAACAGTTCATGTCCCTTTTATAAAAATTAGGTTGTTTTAAAGTACCGTCTGTTCTCATTCTTCAATGCTGACACAATGACCTTGAGAAAATTATCCAGGAATTATTTTTATACATTTCAATCACTTCTTTCAACTCAATGAATCCTTAAGGGAAATAAGAGTCCCATTTACCCTAGCCTAATAGGGAGTCAGAGTGATTTTTCAGCCTTACATATGTGGTTTTGTTTGTAATTTTTCTACTAACAGAGCAAAATGGTCCAAAATACATAGTACCAGAAGGAGGAGCTCTTCTATCAAAAGTATCAAACACACAGAAGGTTCCTTCTGAAACCCTGGGACCAGTGAAGAGAAAAACTTAGATCCAAATTGTCAGCTTGCTTAGGTTTTTAAAATGACGACATTTGGATTAGTATCCACTATTTTTTTTTTTTCTTAAATAAGTTAATTTTGCTCTTATAACTGGCACTAAAATGTAAGTGCCATGAGAACCAGGGCATCATTATCTGCTCACTGCTGTGCCCCAGCACCAGGGATGGGGCCAGACACACGCTGGTCCCTCAGTGAATACATGCCGAGTGGCCACACAGGGCACAGGGCAAACAGGAGCAAGAGCTTGGATCCCAAGTGCAGAGTCACTAACAAGTCAACTGACTCATCTATAAGGCCAGCTGAAAGGCGTTGCCCAAATAACTTGTTCCTGGTAAGAACCAGTACAGAGGATGTGAAGAAGAAGAATGAAAAATGTTGAATTGTTCTGGGGAGACCTAAATCCATGCACTTCTAGTAGAAAAAAAAAAAAAGGCAAATCTGAAATACAGCAATTTCTAGCAAGTACCTTAATTCATGAACCAGGTGTGCAATAATTCTTGTTCCAGATCCTGCCAAGGGGTGACCCAAAGCAATGGCTCCTCCATTCACATTGGTTTTACTTGGATCAAGACCCAAACTCTTCTCAACAGCCAGGTACTGGGGAGCAAAAGCTTCATTCACCTTAAAAAAAAATTAAAGCACTAATAAAAATCCTTACTCACAAACTAATTTTTAACTGAGAATGGTCCAGTCCTATCAACAGCCAATTCTGCTGTTTCTTTCTATTTAAATTACCTTACAAAGTTATTTGAATTTATCTTCAATCATTCTGTTTAAAGCTATTAGGGTTGAAAAGAGGTATATTTACTAAATGGTGCTTTAAGTCAAATGCACCTCTTAGAGAAAAGAAATTCTCAGTCATCTTATAAATGGACACATACTAGAGGCAGTGGGATATTGCAGAAAGCACACAGGTTTTGGAGTGAGATGGATGGTTCCAATCTTGGCTGCATCATTTATTAGTGTGTGACCTTGGGCATGGTCTTTAAACTCTTTATACACTCATGTTTCCTCAGCAGTAAAATGTGACTGTAGTATCATGCTAAGAGTCATTGTCAGGGTTAAATAAAATCCTGGGTATTAAGTGTCCAGTGTATTACCTGACACATGGCAAGTACTTACTAAGTGACTGCTATTATTATTATTACGCAGTACTAGGCGCTATCTTCCAAGAAGAAACTGAAAGACAACAAAGGATAAAACTTCAAGGCCGATCATACTGTTACATTTTTCTTACCAAGGCTGGCTACCAGAATGACCTTACTTCAAGCTTATAGTACTATATTTCCACATGACCTTAGCTCAGTTTATAGATAAGAAAAGTGATTCTAAGAAAGACAACTTTTGCAGAGTTGGGATCAAAATTCAGTCTTTGTGTTCTTTCCTACTATGCTTTGTGCTCTCCCAAATGGTGCTTTATTTGTCCTTAGATCCAACATTACTTTTCTATTTTATATAATCATCTTCAAGGAGGTACTGCAAGATTTAGAATATGTTGTGAAAATGGGCTTCTAAACCTAGGAAAGCTATGTTGCAAGTTATGTCCTTGAGTATTTATACATCTATAAATGATTATGAACAGCTTTGCAGAGTCGATGCAGTTCAACAGAGCTTTAAGTGTGAAGTCTAAAGTAATAAATTTATTGGTACCTATTTGCTGACA